AACAGTGAGTACTGTTCTTGGGGATGACACAAGAAAGGTTCCCAGCGCCCAAGTTGAGTGGCTCACAAGGGCAGTTCCAGCTCCAGGGGCTCTGATGTCCTCTGCAAACCTCCATTGGAGTTTGCACTCACCTGCACATAGACATCATGTAATTAAAGATAAAATGAACCTCCAAAAATAAATAAATCTTCTAGTTAAGGTGATCTAGAGTCTTAATCCCTGCACTCAGGAGGCAGAAGCGGGCAGATCTCTGTGAGCTGGAGCCCAACCTGGTCTACACAGTGTTCCAGGCTAGCCATGACTACATAGAGAGACTGTCTACAAACGTATCCCAGTTGTTTTCTTAGCATTATCCCCTAAACAATACATCATATCTACTATTTATATAAAATTCTGTATTTTAAAAAATCTAGAGATGAGAATGGTCACAGGTTCCAGGAGCTCCCTGTATGGGCTCATTTGTTTACATACATATGAATTTACAGGGCAGGGGCTGGCACGTGTGTGTGCAATGGGTATGCAATTTGAACGTACACAGGTGTCCGTGTGGAGACCTGAGGCCGACACTGGGCAGCACCCTTACTTGCTCTCCATATTACTTCTCAGGACTTTGCCTCTCGATGACCCCAGAGCTTGCTAACTGCAGCTGGTATGGAGAGCTGCTTGCCCTAGACTGCCCTGTGTCTGCCTCCCGAGGGCTGGGATTACAAGTGCACAACCACACCTGCCTGGCGTTTACTTGAGTTCCCAGGCTCTAAACTCTGGTCCCCATGCTCACATAAGGAGTGATGTATTACTGCGCCATCTTCTAGGCCTGCTTGTTTGCCTGAATTAAGTTCCTGTTATATAGTCCTGGGCATCCTGGAACTCACTATGTAGCTCAGGCCAACCCCATACTTGTGGGCCATCCTCACACCTCTGCCTCCCAAGTGCTAGGGTTATGGGTTTATATCACCACACCCGCATTTGTTTATTTGTTTGTTTTTTTAATTGAGATTTGCTGTGTAGTCCAGGCTGACTTCACATCAACATCCTCCTGCCTTGGCGTCTTGAGTTCTGGGACTTCAGGTCCATGCCACTACTTGCACAGTTTTATAACAGCGACTTGAGTATCCCGTATTTGGTATTCTCGGGGGGGGGGGTCCCCATATTCATTCCCCTCAGATGCCAAGGACTACTATAGACAGGTAGAAATATGTAACTCAGGCCGGCCTGAAACTCACTATGCAGTACAGGCTATGCGTTGTATTGTCTACTGTTGTTAGAGATCACAAGAGTTTAACAGTCCCTACGAATCAGGAACTGAATTTTATTCCAGTTATCATGGGGGTAACTTGGTGTGGCTCTGAATTAGGTCCGAGTTGGCCAAGATCCTTTCCCATGGCTTCTGCATATGACATGGCTCACCCTGTAGCTGGGAAGGTTAAGTGGTGATGACTCCCGTGATACGTAATTGCGGGAGAGGAAAGATTAAGTTCTTTGTTGGGTCCGAAACGCCTTAACCTTTGACTCAGGTACTGCAGGGTGAATAGAAGTTTGACGGTCGGAAGAAAGGAAAGAGGGTCACATGGACAGAGGTGTCAGGGGAGGGACTTATGAACCGGCAGGGCGCATTGGGTTAGGAGGGACACAGAGTGGCCGTGGAGACGAGGGAGACAAGGATGGTGACATACAGTGGAACCCCCCTCCATCAACCTGACTTTTTGTTGTTCTTTGTTGTTCCTGGTTGTGTCTGTGCCTGCACCTGCTCACATATGTGAAGGTGCACATGAAGGCCAGAGGGAGTTATTTACAGAACTCCATTTACCCACCTTTCTTTCTTTTCTTCCTTCCATTCTCTTCTTCCCCTCCTTCCTTCCTTCCTTCCTTCCTTCCTCCCTCCCTCCCTCCCTCCCTCCCTCCCTCCCTCTTTCTTTCTTTCTTTCTTTCTTTCTTTCTTTCTTTCTTTCTTTCT